GCAAAAATAAATAAATAAAAAAAAGATAAACAATAAATTAAATAAAAAGGAAAAAACAAAATCATTAAACGTCTCCTCCAGGGAATCGATCCCGCTACCGTCAAACCTACATTGGATTTGCAAGCGGCGCCTTAACGCGGTGCGCCACTGGATCACTCTCATTTACATAATAATAGACCACTTGACACTTTCACCGAATAGACTACCCCAATTTGACATTATACTTTCGATAGTTGCCTAGTTAGTGCAAGGGGTTATCCATCAGTGTCTAGGGGCCGGATAGCTTCTCCCTCACTGGCTTTTTAGTTAGCGCGAAGTTAGGACCAATTATCGGGATAGCATGGAAGAGCCGAAATCTCTAACCGGAATGTAAATCGATTCGCCGCCTCAGCTTCACAGAATGTCTCGGGGGAATCGTCCCAACCTTTTTTCGATTTTATGGTCATGGGTTCGAATCCCACGACTCAAGTTTTTTTCTTTTTTCGTTACTTCTATTTTTTGCTTTTTGTTTTTGTCTTTGATTAGATTCCTACATTAATGTTTGTTTGCAATATCTGCAGAATCATTTAGTAATTATTTCTATATATTTCAATAATGTGATATTTTAAAGCGCGCTTTCATTGGCTTGTTTTCATTAAACGTATAATAGGTTTTCACAGCGCGGCGATTGCGCAACCGAGAATCAATTTTTAAACAGAGTGGCCGAGGTATGTTTTCTATTCGTACGGACATGGTATATATTCTGAAATTTTAAAGTAATTATATAAGATTTTAAAATACTATTATAATTTTGTTTAGAGTCAAATAATAATATGAATACGCTGCAAACTTCCTGATTTTACCATGCACATTTAGCCCGGCATAGAATACATCATCGCGAAAAGCGACACTGCTTAATGAAATTTCGTAAACTCCGATGTCAGACACGGACTGCAGCAATGTCACTACTATGTTCTCAATGCCTGCTATGTTTAACACTTTTTGGATTTTGAACGTTATAATATGAATCGACATCTTTTTTTAGATTGCTAATAAAGTTATAAAAGGTTTTTTCTTACTTAGATACTATTTTGGGGATTTTCGTGGAAATAGTCGCATTTCGGCTTATTTGAAATAGAAAAATCCATGTCTGTAAGAATAAGTCACGCAGTCTATTCATACGAAAAAAGAATTCAAAAATTTCTGAAAGTAATCTAGCTAACCGTGATTCGAAAAAATTAGTCGTGAGTCGTGAGTCGTGAAATCGCCAAATTTGTAGAGTCGTTATGCGTACCGCTCCATTGAGACCCTCTATTAAGAATTACATATTAAAAATATGGACTTAAAAAGCAACAATAACAAAAAAACACACAAATTGGGTTGTGATCAATTAAATGTTAATTAATGCCAAATTAAGGGCATAGCATTTTTTGACAATTACTGCCAAGACTGCACATATATCGTCGAAGCTAAGTGCACGAACTGATTTTTTTTGTATCTTATTGCGTTTTTCACGTTTAATTAGTAAATCTTAATAATACTAGATATAGGGGATATTACATGGTCGCGCGGAGATACGGATTTTATTTTCGAGTGTTCAAAAGATGTAACGAATTTTCAACACCAGAAGATAAAATTCGTATCTAAGAGAATATGTAATATTCTGTTTATCATATAATCATATATGAAAGCAAATTATTTTGTCGTTGAATATCTGGCTTACTTGCAGTTCACAGTTTCTACAGTATTTCCAGTACTTGAATTTACAACCAACGTCGCAAATTGTTCACTTTCTACAACAGTAACACTTGTTTTCTCCCAAAATAGTTTAATATAATCTGAAATTGTATCACATGACATGTCAATTAGAGAAATCAAAACATTAAGTGTGAGAGAAAGAGAAGGAATAGGAAGGTTTCCCCAATGCAATTAAGATTGGAATATCAGAAGTTGAATCTCAATAAAAAATAAAAACTTAAATAAAACAAGCATGATATTTTATTAATGTTGAACTATAATCACATCCTGCAGTTTAAGGTYGTTGTGTAAACGCCATTTTCAGGAACAAATTAAGCATAATGCTATAAAAATGCTGTTTTTATTTGTAATAATTTAAAAAAAGTTGATTGGTGTCTTTATTTACCGAAAACTAATGTATGTTTTTAGCTGACTAAAAAAAGGTGTAAAGTTCTACAGCCGTAAAAAATGGAGACGCTGGACGTGTTCTGCTAGTATATTTAGATATCGGTTTTCAAGTTTACCTGCATTAATTTCATACAAAGTCGATGTATTTTCACCAAAACAACTCCTTGAAGTTACTTCAAGCTTRTATCTATTCAATGCCGTCAGGTTGGTGAAGACCAGTGATTTGGTATTAACAGTTTTATTGAAGTGAATGATGCTTGTATTGGTATTGGTGAGAATGACGTGGTAATCGTCGATCTTGGCTTGAGTCTTTCCATAATTTTCATTGATTTCAAATTCAAGAGTTTTTCTAACGTTCTTTTTCGTGGTAATGATGACAYTTGGTGGTTCTGATCAATCAAYATAAAACGATTATCAACACATCGATCTTTWTAACTTTAGAAGCATATCCCTCAACTGGCTTTGCATGAATCTTTAGTGRACTTRCCACAAGTCTGATTCTTTTTGGATTTTTCTGTATGAAATGATTTTAATGAAGGTAGCAGGCAAAAATTTAAAAAAATTTAAATTTAAATCCTGTTCCAGAGTAGAATCCAGCACTAGCTTGCGTGTAGACCGAATTTTTACCCTGTGAATTTTTACCCCGTGAATTTTTACCCAGCATCGATAATTCCGGAATTAAACGCTGACCCTGTTCCAGAGAAAAATCGGTGAAATCGATACCCTGGTCCAGAGTAAATTCGCTAAAAACGATACCCTGGTCGGCGGCACGTCCCCGAATGTAGGGGAGTCCCCCCCCCCGGGACATGAACGCAATTTCTAAAGAGCTACATATTGACCAGATAGAATAAATAATTTGTACAAAAAATGATCCTTACCGATATCGAATGTCATAGATGACAAAGAAGCATATTTCCAAAGGTTGTATCGTCCCTCAGGTGCAATACAGGCAGGTAGAGCATTTTTTGTAGTACATGTTCGTGTTACATTCGTGAGGCCAGGACAATCGAAATCTTTGAATAAATCTTGRCATGTWGAATAGTTTTTGCTTTTTGTGGTGTATATCTTGTTGTATTCTTCATCTGATAAATCTGTTTGATGTTCGTTGTCAGCCATCTTGACCAATTTGCCCTCAAATGCCCTAAAAAACGACGCGGTTACATGCGTACAGTTAATTTGTCGTATCTCTCCTGCATAGAAGCATGCTTATTGACTCTGTCCGAACAGATTGACTCATCAACTSTAACASTTCATAAACCATCTTCAAACTATGTGGTTATCTCAGTCGTATCAAGGAAAGGCCTATTGTTGTATTATTGCTGTATAGTTAGACAGTTAGTCTCATTAAGCCCTAGCATTTCTTTATATCGTTTGTTTATTTGGATTTGTTTGGCGTCTCATCTGCAATACCCCATGCTGCAAGTCATTGTTTTGGACGTAGCATAAATTCCGTGTTATAAATAGCATTTGCATCTCAATGAATTGTTTTAAAATGTTAATATTTGTTTAGCATGTATATATGGTAACCTAACCTTATTTGGAAGTGCACGGGGAACCGTTTTGGGTATTTTTTAAATCTTTTTTCCAAAATCATCTGGAACTAGCAGATATTATAGAGAAAACATTTTTCAACAACCGCCTTGTTTCATTCCATACTATGGCCTCTGTAAGAAAGCCCAAATCAAAAAAGCACAGGGATTCCGCATAAACTGATTACAATTCATAATGATCTAAGCGTTACTTCAACCTAAAAGTTTATTTATTTAGTCGAGCTTTCGGCTCACCGAGCCATTATCAAGACTAAATAAATAAACTTTTAGGCTGAAGTAACGCTTAAATCTTAATGAATAGACCGACCTACAACCATTTATTTTAATCTGCTTATAATTCATTTATATGCATCTTCTAAGATAAACAATTTCTTTGGTTAAATTAACAAGTTTGATTTTGTGTTTTATTTGAGGACTCGGTAGCTGAACCTTATAGATAGTTGTTGTTATTTACGATTTCATGACAACCRTCTTCATCAGTGTAATGTATCGACCGAAACGTCTTTATGAGATATTSAATAAAATCTTGTCGGAGGCAATTTCAGTCGCTCGAGTCTCCGCTTGCGTTAAATCTCATAAATGGACACCGCTAGTTATTGGCATAGCTTCAAAGTAACCGGGACATTACATGATTTATTCTTAAATTAGCTCAATAACATACCATTCCATTGGCTCCAGGAGTGCGTTCGCTTCACATTTATAAGTAATCTGACCAGGTATAAGTTGTTGGCTGGATATCTCATCTGATATTGTTAGACTCATTTGGCCATCTATAGAACAACAGGATMTGTTACTTTAAAAATCTTCATAAGCTTTAGAAAATTTATGAAAATAAAGCATAGGAAACATCCAATTCCAAATAACTCATGTTGAAAATGAGTATTAACTGYCAAGGATAACTATAGATAACCGCTGTGACGTATAGTGAAAACGAAGAATACTCATCCACTTGCGAACTTGAAAAGTGTTTAAAAATTTTCAGGAGGAACCGACAGGGTCTGTTCTTTTAAATAACTGTTCTTATACGATTTTTTTCCTGAGAAAGTGATTTAGAACAAGATTTTTAAATTGCGAAAAAAACTCTCTCTTACGGTCGTTAAAGCACTTGAGTATTTAAGAGATATTCGGGCTTTTCCTTCCTGAAAAGGTCGTAAAGAGTTCGTAGAGCCTATTCCTCTCCGTGATTTACAGGTAAAAATATTTAAGTRATAGATAACTTTTTCCCTGTGTTTATATTGCCTGATGCAAACACTCGGGCAGGTTGTGAGAATTCTCGAGACGGTTATGCAAACCCGAGACGAAGTGTTTGCATCAGGCTATGTAAGCACAGGGAAAAAGCTATCTATTGCTTTTATAAAATAACTCTTTTCTCTAAAATTTGGCTTTAAAATCTTTAGAATTCGAGTATAATTTTTATGATCAAAACAAGGTTTCTCCTTACCTCAAACATTTGAATGGCTTTTTTAACCAGCCAATTACAGTTCACGTTTTAACGAAAGACGAAGTTGGCAGGTTTGACAAAACGTGAAAAAAAAATGGCGGACGACGGCAAGCGACTTTCTTTCTTTCTTTGTGCATCAAAATTGCTATTTTAGTGACCTTAGATGAATCATACTACGTGTTCGTTAAGGAGAAAAGGGTGCATGTCTGTCAAAAGGTCAACTGGACGCAAAAAAAATTAGTTAATTTTCTCGAAACTCATCGCAGCAGCCCTGGCTACATTTGTATACATTTTTTCTTATCACAATCATGCTGCTAAAGGATACCTTCTGTAGCTGCTGGGAGCCACTTTGGGCGAGTGCCCTAGCTCTCTGGGTCCTTGGCTCGAACGGAGAAAGCAAACTAGACTGAATTCCTGATGACAATAACTTTATTCGACCTTTCTCGTCGAGAAATTTTTGGGACCGCGTGCTTGCCGTCCCACAATGCAACTTGACAAAATATAACACAGGGAAACCGTACGATAGTTATGCTACATGGCTCCCCCAGACATGAGAATGTATGAACAATAACAAAAAATGATACTAAATGTTAATAACTAATGTCAATAAAGTGTTTATGGCTCCTCGTCGGGGAACTATCCCGGTGAAGCTTCTTGAATGAGTATCAGCTTGTGAATGGGTCTGTCCAAATATGATCTTCGATTGTTGCGTGTTAGCAATATCTGAACCTTGCGAACTAAGCCATCGGTGCTTGGATAAACTTTAACAATCTTTGCGAGTGGCCAACTGATTCTAGGTAAATCTTCGTCACAAAGTAGAACTATGTCTCCGACTTTACTGTTCCTCTCAGGCTTGATCCACTTCTGTCTTTTAGTAAGAAGGTGACAATATTCTTTATGCCAAGTTCTCCAAAACTGTTCCGATAAACATTGTACTCTTCTCCATCTTTTTCGTGAATACACATCAGGTGGTAAGAATACGCCTGGTGGCGGCTGCACTGTTCTTGATTTCAGCGTGAGTAAGTGATTCGGGCTGATTACTTCTTCGCTGTCTGGTTCACTCATGTTCTGTACTGTAAGAGGACGACTATTTACGATGTTCTCAGTTTCAACAAACAGGGTGCGCAGACCTTCGTCGTCAAGTTGAGTTCCTTGTGTTTTCAGAAGACTGGAGAGAACAGTACGCACCGTGCGTATCTGTCTCTCCCAGGTGCCTCCCATGTGTGAGGCACTGGGTACATTGAATTTAAACTTGATAAGATCACAGTCATTNGTTTCCTGTAGTAGGAGCTTTGACTTGGTTTCCTGTAGTAGGAGCTTTGACTTGGTTTCCTGTAGTAGGAGCTTTGACTTGGTTTCCTGTAGTAGGAGCTTTGACTTGGTTTCCTGTAGTAGGAGCTGCTGGGTGGTCTGTGTAGACGGGCATGCCTGGATTTCCTCGGGTAATAGTTACTGGGCTGCCTGTGCTGCGTGGTTTTGGTTGTGGTGTTATTATTGTTCTTGGTTTAATAGGTGGACGAGATGACGTTGGAGTAGATAATACTGTTGGGATCCCTGTGGTAATTGGTGTGCTAGTAGGTTGTTCTTGGTTATCAAAGTCATGCTGCATGAATGTAGACATGATGTAATGTTCATCTATTGGTGCAAAGGGTCCTAATCTCACTTCGAGATCGCCTTCTTCCATCAATGCGTTTTGGTAAACTTCTTCTGTTGCTCTCATTTCCTCAAGTTCCTGTCGGATTTCTAATTGTTGTAGTTTTGCTTTATGTTCTGCAATCGCCGAGACATATTTCGATTTCTCTTGTAATGCAGCTCTTTTTGCTTTAATGTCTAAGAGAGATTTATTTATTGATGACGAGCTTGATTTTGAATGTCTAGACATGATATCACTTTGAGCATGTTTGATTCCAGTTGTGTTCACACGAGCCTTGTCATGAGCCGTTTGCCAAATATACCGTAGATATTTCTTTCTTTCTTCAATGTCATTGGCTTCGATGGGGTCATTACACAATATAGCTATTTCACTGTAGGCTTCGATTATGACTTCTAGTTCACTCGTGAGATGTGCGAGTATTTTCCTTGATTCGTTTACATTTTTGAAGCTTTCAAGTGTACTTATCTGGTTAATAAAATCCTTGTCTTTCTTCCTGGTTGATTTCCGTTTGTTGTCGAGCTCGTATTCCAAGCCCTTGGCTGTCATAGTTCTTTTCCTGGGATCGGGTAATCCTCGAGTCGCCATAATTGATGTTTGATCATGACTTTAGACGATTTCCTCTTCGTATTCTAGCCCAATTTCTCGACTGTAGCTGCTGGGAGCCACTTTGGGCGAGTGCCCTAGCTCTCTGGGTCCTTGGCTCGAACGGAGRAAGCAAASTAGACTGAATTCCTGATGACAATAACTTTATTCGACCTTTCTCGTCGAGAAATTTTTGGGASCGCGTGCTTGCCGTCCCACAATGCAACTTGACAAAATATAACACAGGGAAACCGTACGATAGTTATGCTACACCTTCACTCGTCTATCATCGCAGAGATTGTAATAAAATTTTCAGAACCATTTTTTAATAACATAATTGATATACTGACGAAGTTTCAATAAAATCTTAACCTAAAATTTCGAGTTGTTTAAGCAAMATGATGTACATTCGAACAACTCGAAATTTTAGGTTAAGATTTTATTGAAACTTCGTCAGTAGAACGTGTTCGCATAACCCACTTTTTAAATGCTAATGMGTTTTGCTAATATTCCAATGAGATTGGCATGAGAAACAAAAGAGCAAAAATATGCTTGAGTGATTTCAAAATATTACTATTTTGAGCTCAGTTCAATAAATACACAGTTTCAAACGGAAACATTTTTATTATTAAAGTTAACCAATTTCAACAGTTATTGGCTACAAGATTGAAAATTCCTTATTTTGAATGCCAACAGATCGTTTGTTTTAAGGGGTTCATAATGTTGATTTAATTTTTTTTAAATAAATTGGGCGAATGGGAAGAATTAAAAAACAAGCATTGCAGACTTCCACAACCCGTCGATACTAGAATCAAAACCAATTCTGGACAATGAGGTCCGTTTCAGACGTCGATGTTTTGCCGTGTCTAATCTAATTACTTGCATGTAGTTTACGAGAAGTTGAGATAGCTGTATAGCTTAAATAAAAATGTTTCCTTTTGAAGTTTTGCTTGAACTGTGCTCAAAATAGTTTTGAAATAATATTCGCTACTRAAATCACYCAAGCATGTTTTTGCTCTTTTGTTTCTTGTGCCAATCTCATTAGAATATTAGCAAACTCATTAGCATTTAAAAAGTGGGYTATGCGAATACGTTCTAGTATATCAATTATGTTATT